CCCTTTACGGGCGGGATCACCCACGTACCCTCGACATCGGCTCTCATGGCCCTATGGGAAACCAGCCGACGCCTCCGCGCCACAACGCAGAATATGTGCGCCGCCCGCATTTTAAAAGAAACGGTGGCTTCACTTCTTTGCAATGCCTTCGCTCTTTGCGCCGTCCCCAAACCACCAAGATTATATATACGTCGGACTGGTCACCGCATAATCAGCCACTACCGTTGCGCCTTCCGTCACCAACACGGGTACTACATGCCATACGAGTCAACTTATATGCAGCCAAATTCGATCTCGTGGACGAGATTTACCATATCCCCGTGCAGGAATCCTTTCGCCCATTTTGGTGTGTTGTTATCGGCCTCGAAAACTCGCTCTGGGAACATCTCTATGGATCATATCTACGAGGGTTCGAACCAGCCCCCCCTCCCCATCACAAAATGCATACGCGCTATCTCTTGCTCCAAGATCTCGCTCCCCAAAAAATAGTCTTACTTACGATAGACTTATATCTTTGCAGGCAGTAGATACATAATTTTGCTTATTCTTAGGTAGAATGCGTCATCACCGACAAACTATATTCATGATACTATTACTAAATAAAAATGATAAAATGTTTTTCCTTGTCTGTGGGTGTGAAGGTAGGAGCAGTTCGACTAAAAACCCAACAACTATAAGTGTGAGATTAGTTTCTTTGAGCCTGACAGTTGAGGAGGGAAAGGCGAGGATAACATTACCAAACCGGAAATAGGTTATTTGAAGGCGGTACAGTGTACGACAACGGAAAAATATTTAAGTCGCGTACGGCAAGCAGAGAATGAAGAACACGGACAAAGGAATTCATATACCTGTAAAACATTTTAAGATTAAAGGAATAAAAATAACTTTGCACAGAATAATATTGCTCACACAGTTCACAACTTTCCTGCGTTAGTTCCTCGTCGCTGTCTGCGTGCGTGTGAGCCGTTGAATAACGGTCATATGATTTTCTAAGAACGATGTTGCAAATTCCGGGAGCGTGCTATCACGGTTCAAAAGATATCACTTTATTTTCAATAAAGCAAAACCACGTTTCGTATAATATGGATTATTGGGTTAAATGGAAATACTAAATGCAAACTAACACACATTATATATTTTATTATGAATTGGCATGAATCAGGTATAAAGCATCTACCCAAACTCGGGGTAATCAGTATATTGCGCCATTGCTACCTCATCATTTATGTACTTTATTTTGGTTATATGCTCTAGATATTACGGAAGCAATCATCCCACATTTCGGGTTCAAAATCTCACGATACCTCCTCTCCACCTGCACTATTCTTAAGCGTCTTCGAAATAGCACTAACAGACTTGACGTGGTATGTTCGAAATTACACCTCAAAAGAATCTTATTGAATAATAATAATAATAATAATAATAATAATAATAATAATAATAATAATAATAATAATAATAATGACGCTCCACAAGAAATACACTGATGTTATCAATCCCCAAGTAAAGTGTTGCATCTCAAAATAGGTGAATTGTGTCGTTCTTAGCCGAAACCGCAGGTCATGGTGTGTGTGAAGTAAAGTGCTTGATATCGTGAGGAAAAGCAGTGTGTAGGACATGAATGCGGAAGCGTTGATAAGGGATACGTATGTTAACATTTCTTTCATACTTCATTTCTTTCATGCTCAGCTTTGTTCAGATGTGTTCTTTCAGTATCAGGCATTGGACTTGCCAATGAATCGTAGTAGCTGATAAAGTTATACTCAATTTCAACAGTACCGAACATCCAATGATCTTATATGTTACCTTCATACGGGATATGAACTGTGCGTATTGCAATTTCAAAATTATAATCGCCGTTTTGATTATGCTAATAGTTATAAAATTATTAATTATAGTACAGCTACTATTTTGCGCTTTTTTCTAATATGCATACAAATGTGCATAGCACATTTGCATTAGAAAAAGTCCCGTAAATCAGTATTTGCACACTTATGTAAGAACGTGAAATTGAGAAGTCGGACACATGAACGTTCATTAATTGTCTAGCATTACTCACAGTTTTCTCCGTATTCACTTGAAGTTCTTCAAGTTTAATACATTCCGAAGCAATATAGAGACATCGAAAGACATCTCATAGGTCTCGATTGGTGTACGAGAAGTGGTCTAGCCGTGAGTGATGGAACCGCTTATCTGAACAATTGAACATACGTACGTCGGAACTTTACTCAAATACTGTATAGGAGTGGCCTTCTTCGCCTGCCGAGAATCACGTACAGAATACACCTTTTTATGCAATTGTAGTGTCATTATCTTTTAGTTGAGTGAGGATAAAATACTCGTAGTATAATTTTAAGTTAAAGTTCCATAAACTTAGTTGACATGTGATTCGGTGTATTTTGTAAAACTGTTCTTGTCCGCGAAATAATCAGTTCTGGTTAAGATACTAACTACAAAATTGGTTGAGGTGCGTCACACCTTGCGCGTCCATGGCAATGTAAAATGTCGGTTATGTTACAAATCAGGCATGAAAACCGTCATAGATAGATACAGTTTGTAAACCATTTTGTACTCCCTTTCTGGAAGAAAAATTTAAGAACATGAAAACAGTGTTCGGATCATAACAAGACGATGTAAGGTTTTATTTTTATTTTTTTGATATTCTATATTTCCCTTACATTTCTTATTGTTTAAAATACGTTTCAAAGACTACATGGAACCACAAACATTACATTCAAGTTGTTTGGAAATACAAACTCTCTTAATTACATCACAGGTTTAAAATCTTAAACGAAAACATAAATGCAATTTAAAAAATCATGAACCGCGTATTTCTCTTCATAAAATAGAATCAATATTTTCATTTCTTTTTAAATATTGAAATTATTTTTAAATTTTGTTTTTTAATGGTTAGAATGAAATACATATTGCTGGAAAGAAGGAAATAAATACATACCGAAACACAACACATGACATGTGTCCTACTTATGTATCAAGATGGCAGGAACATAATAAAAACAATTCCTTATACTACCATTTACACCAGGAATAATTTTTTTTGAATCATAATTTATTTTGAATATAAATGAGTTTACATTCGAATTTTTATAATAAATTAATATGTATTTTGCTTTCAGTTTGTATGCATTATTTACATTGTAAGTATACAAACAGATTCTTTCATGAGGTAAATTCCTCAATTTACAGGTAAAACTTTATTGATATTTGCAAAAGCTCGCGAAATTCAGATCAAATAAGTTGAGATAAATATCTGATTTTTGTCAGAACGTATTTAAAATAAAGACCCGAGTGATTTTGTCACTCTTATAATGTAAAAAAATAAAGTAAAAAACAATGAATTACTTAAATAAAATCGAGGGTACATAATTATATATCATTTATACGCCGTATTTTTCTGTTATAAAAATCTGTAGCTGTCCTTGCCGCAATAAATAATAATAATAATAATAATAATAATAATAATAATAATACAATTAACGTTATACACAGCTGCCTAAGCCATTTCTCCTTTTACTTTTATTCTAATGACATGCAATGAGGTCATCGAAAAAGTTGTTTGTTTTTTTGACACCCCTAGAGGAGGTGTCCAGGTACCTGATGCAAACCGGTTGATACAGAGGTGTTCTGTGTAGGTCTCCTCTAGGAGAGGTGTCGAGGACCTCACTGTCAGGCGGTGGTACAGGGTGTTCGTGTGTAGTCCCTCTAGTGGAGGTGTCCAGGGACCTGACTGAACAACCGGTGATACAGAGGTGTTCCTGTGTAGGTCTCGCTGAGAGGTGTCCGGGCTCACTGATTGGCTGGTGGTACAGTGGTGTTCGTGTGTAGGTTCCTCTAGTGGGAGGTTGTCAGAGACTCACTGACAGGCAGTGGTACTAGTGAGTGTTGTGTGTAGGTCTCCTGCTATGTGGGGTGTCAAGGACCTCATGAAGCGCCATGGTAAGTAGGTGTTTGTGTGTAGTCTCCTCTAGTGAGAGATGTTCAAGGACTCACTGAAGGCCAGTGGTCAGTGGTGTTCTGTGTACGGTCTCTGTATTGAGAGATGTTCAAGGACCTCACTGGGCGGCTGTTACAGTGGGTAATTGTGATAGGTCTCCCTAGAGGAAGAGGTGCAGAAACCTCACTTTGACAGGCCAGTGGTACAGTGGTGTTCTGTGTACGGTCTCCTCTTGTGGGATGGTTCAAGGACCTCACTGATAAGGCGATGAGTACAGTGGTGTTCGTGTGTAGCGTCTCCTCTAGTGAGAGATGTTCAAGGACTCACTGAAGGCCATGGTACAGTGGTGTTCGTGTGTGTAGGTCTCCTCTAGGGAGGTTGTCCAGAGACCTCACTGACAGGCCAGTGTGTATAGTAGTGTTCGTGTGTAGGTCTCCTCTAGTGAGGATGTTCAAGGACCTCACTGACAGGCCAGTGGTCAGTTGTGTAGTTCCTGTGTACGTCTACGTCTATTGGGAGATGTTCAAGGACCTCACTGGGCCGGTGTTCAGTGGTGTAATTGTTAGGTCTCCCCTAGAGAGAGCGTCGAGAGACCTCACTTACAGGCCGGTGGTACAGTGGTGTTCGTGTGTAGGTCTCCTCTTGTGGATGGTTCAAGACCTCACTGACATGCTAGCGTACAGTGCGGTGTTCGTGTGTAGGTCTCCTCTAGTGAGAGATGTCAAGGACCTCACTGATAGGCCGATGGTACAGTGGTGTTCGTGTAGTAGTCTCCTCTAGGGAGAGTGGTCCAGAGACCTCACTGACAGGCCAGTGGTACAATGGTGTTCCTGTGTACGTCTACTGTATTGGGAGATGTTCAAGGACCTCACGGCCGGTGTTCAGTGTCTGTAAGTGTGTGGTCTCCCTAGAGGGAGGTGTCCAGGTACCTGACTGACAAACCGGTGATACAGAGGTGTTCCTGTGTAGGTCTCCTCTAGGGAGAGGTGTCCAGGGACCTCACTGTCAGGCCGGTGGTACAGTGGTGTTCGTGTGTAGGTCTCCTCTAGTGGGAGGTGTCCAGAGACCTCACTGACAGGCCGGTGGTGCGCGTGGCATCGGAGTCCGCCGAGCCTGCCGAAGAGGTGGCGCTGCAGCGCTTGGTCTTGTCTTCCTCGCGCTCGGAGGCGACCGCGCCCGCCCCGGGCCCCACGTAGCCGCCTCCGCCTCCACCTCCGCCGCCGACGCCCCTTGCCCTGACGCCGCCCCGCCGCGCCACCGCCTTCACGCCGCCGCCGCCGCCACCGGCACCGCACGGCCAGCAGCCCAGCTCGTGCAGGCGCGCACGCAGTCGCCGCCACACGCTCCGCTTGCAGCACAGCAGCACGAACACGAAGACGCCGCGCAGGATGTTAACGGCGTCCGGGAGGTACCAGTAGGCGTCCGCCTGACCCACCACCACAGACACGCACTCCATCACCCACGTCACGCCCATCAGCAGGAACAGCTTCAGGTGCAGCATCGCCCTGCCAACGCCACGAGAAGCCAATAGTCAACTTTTCCTCCATTCGTGTTAGTTTCTTCAATTTTTAAATATATTATTTTGTTGAAAAAAGTATATAAATGAATAAGTTGACCTCTGTTTGCGGATTCAATGAAATATTTTAGTACTAGTGTTTTCCACTATACAATGCTGAAAGAGTTAAAAAAGATTCAGAAGCAACCTTCCGCTTTTCAAAATTAAATCATCTGTCATCAAGAATACTCAAGAAGTATTTAAAGGACGAGTTAAGTTAATGGTATTACACACTAGTGTATTACAACATCACAAACCTGTTCGCATTATTTGTAACAGCTACATAATATTAAATTTCATGTCGAAGACAGAGACAGGCAGATCCAGACCGACAGGCAGATCCAGACCGACAGGCAGATCCAGACCGACAGGCAGAGCCAGACCGACAGGCAGAGCCAGACCGACAGGCAGAGCTAGACCGACAGGCAGAGCTAGACCGACAGGCAGAGCTAGACCGACAGGCAGGCAGACAGTTGATGGAAGCACAGGGAGTCAGAGAGGAATCTCTCTGCATGAATTGTCATACGAGGAACTGTGATGCCTTGATCTCCGAGCCGAGGCCTACTGCGAGGTGAAGCCGCTTGCTCACTTGCCGTAGCCCATATTACACGAGCTCAGGCGCATAGTTCAAAGTTTAACGGTAATTATTTACAAAACTAATCGACGAATAGTATCCATTTTTAGCTAATTCAGTCTGCACATTACATATAGGATAAGGTCCCGGCGTGGTAGCAACGAGAACTGAATCACCCTGTTTGACTGCACAACTTGAACACCAATGTGCACTTCCACGAGACCACTTTAGTTACATTGGATTAGAATGATATACAATTTATTTAATGTTTTGAAAAGATTAAAAGTTTGTTACCTAATAAAAGAAGAATGTCTGAAATGGGATTTTATCCTCGAAGAAACCTGAAACTGGAGTGGTAACGTGGGGCACAGTAAAGCGCATAACCGTAATCATGGAGAGCATAGGGTTGATATTCCTGAAACAATTAACATTGAGATTCTTGACTCTGCACTGAAGGGTCACAGCCTGTGCACGAAAACTGAAGATCAGAATTTGGCCAATTGCCAAAGGGGATTAAAACGAAACACGCGGAGTATGTTGTGGTTAACACGACTGCTTGAGCGAAAAGGAAGTAAGATTAAAACAAAAATATAAAATACTATTTATCGTTTTGTATTATGTTCATCATTACGCAATTAATTACTATTTATAATTACTTTCTTCTTAAAGGAGACTTTCAGGGCAATCTGATACTTTCATTGAATATGTTTTAATACCCAGATTGTCTTCGTGTCATGATGACGAAGGCTTAAATGGTCGACGTTGGCAGTATGGGAAAAGCCGCGACCCGTTGTTTCGTTGAATAACCTCTGTGCGAATCGGACAAGCGGGATTCTAAATTATTCTCTATTATCAAATTGCGTGTTCTGGGTCTGGATAATTTTCGTACACAAATATTATTTGAATCTTTGTCAGTTAATGTGGTGATGAGCTGTTCAATTTTAAAAGTTTCTTCTGGGTGTAGCTTTTAGTCTTCACAGACATTAATAGTGCTGACAAAGAATTTGCATTGTAAAGTAACCATACTATATCAGAAACCTTGAAGCCGATAAAACGTATTTTTAGTTATCACTGTTTGACGTTTTATAGAAGCGCCTGCGATATCTGTCTTCAACACCTAACTATTTGCAGTCCGGAAGAGTATTGTTTTTCAAGGTTCCTTCGTCAAATCTGTTGGTATATGATTTGCAATGGAATGAAAAATGTACATTCTCTATTGAATTATATTTATCCTCAGTTCCCGTTAAATAACGTTGTAACAAAAAAGGTCTCTCATCACAAACATTATTTTTTATTTATCACGACTCTCTGAAGCGTTTATTCCGAGGCATAAAAATGATACGCGTAAGTGTGTATGTTAGGAATAAAGTGCAAACCTGATTCCCAAATTAATTGGTATCACTGCCCAAAATGAGAGGATAAAATAATGTGTAGGCACTGCTTCCAAGCATATTTCGGCATTTAAGCGGGTGATGATGGCATTAGCCAACACAAGGCTAGGGTAGATGAAATTACGGTGATGAGGATAGCAGGTTTTTCATCAACACGAATCAGATGACTCGTATGAAAATGCCAAGGATAGTGAGAGACAAGGGGTGCAGTTTCCAGCTCCACTCGATCAGTCGCAAATTTATATTTACACATCAAAATATTATTTATTTAAATTTTGGTCCGATAAAAGTATTGCAACCGCCTCCGCAAAAAAAACATCTGACCTCCCCATATTCCTCAATTGACGCCTCACTACACACTTTCGAGTTGGGGCGAAGAGCCTCTGGCCTTTGCAATTTACATAAAGCAATCTCTGGTTCGTGCAACGCAAAATTTCGAATACATTTTGATACCAAAATATTTCTTGCGAACATACAAAATGTCTCACGCTCGGACAATCGCCATACTTTAGGTAGCGATCTCTGGCTGATACAAAAATTGGTTGAAGTCCGGAATGGCTTAACGGTTCAAAGTCATTCATACAGTTTTAATCAATGCGTCTTGCAAAATTATTGAAGAAGCATTCCTAACTTGAAACCTTTTTACTTCCTTGCATTTTACATACGTATTAAACAGAATGATATGTTGATAAGCTGCAGCAAAGCAAAAAGGGTGATTTTTCCGTAGAAAATGCATATTGTAATTCCAGAAATGTGGATAATTCATGATGCCGAACATGTGATATTCAAAACGCGTATAATTCGTATTCCTAAATAAATGTAGTAAATTCCTTCTTTTAACATGTTGTGTAGTCATTATCCACGTTTCGTGCGTCCTTCATATTACTCGCGCAACTTTTCTTGACCGATGACCTTGCTTCCCCCTCTCTGACACAAACAGTTGAAGACAAAGGTTCACAGCGTGCACTGATGACATTCCAAACACAACTTCACTGGCGCGAAATAGAAATTATTTTCCGTTGAATACGAGAACTACTGACCGTGATTTTCTCCAAAAAATGTAAATAAATGACCAAAGCAGGTAAAGATTCATCACGGGAAATACCTCGAACCCCTGAGAAATTTAGAACGCAAATTATTGAGAAAGTTCTGATTCTCCAGAGATTGGCATTGCTTCATAAAATCTAGAGGCCGATTTCGTAACTAATACCCCCACTCTACCCGCATTTCTTCAATCCATCGTTCAAGAATAGTTGCGCGAGTAATACCAAGAAATTGGATTACGGCAAAACATATGTCTGTAAGTCTGTCCTGTCCTCATTTCCGTCTGTGAATAACACAAGCAAATTTCACCAAAATTGATATTTCCCGATCTATTTGGATTCTATGTCGCGGCTCCTTGAATTTTAAACAGACATTTTTATTTTTGGGAGTGCATTAGATAAAGTCTCAAGGACATTCTCGTTTTTTTCTCAAACCTGGCTCCAAATGTTGCGATTACTTTTTATAGGATAGAGCAAAGGAAGCGTATAAATGTGGCGCAAGTCCGATTTTAATTGAAATTTCTGAATTTCCCAAAATTGCGAAAGTGAGTAAAAGAATTATGTGTTGCAGCATCACTAGTTAGGTGTTTAACCGTGACATATCATTAGTTAATTAGTTACTGCCTTTGTACGAGCTGTCATGTGAGAGAGGCTCTCTCGTCACTTATTCAAGAAATGCTGTGACCCTTGAATTCGATATCATCCGAATCTCTCGTGAAACATTCTGTATCTCTTTCGTCAGGGCAACTCTCAAGTACAATTGCCTGTCTGTCATTGTGGTAAGTTTGATTAACTTATATTGATTCTTGTAATATGAAACCGGGATTTTTGAAATGAACTACGGATTATCAAATTTTTCGCATCAGAGAGTATCCTGATTTCAATTACCAAATATTTGGGCGATTCTACTGAAGTTCTCAGAGATAATTTGTTCAAAATTCATAAAAAATCAGTATTTGGTGCAAAGTTTTGGTTGGCTAATACGAGAAGTTATCTTGCAGATCAAAGTGCAATACTTGAAAGCTAGTGAATCCTCTTCCTATTCATAAATCGTCAGAAGGGACGGATCTACAAATCATTTCAGGGAGGGGAGTAATTTCAGTTCACACACCCCATTAATATTTTGGATCTTTTTAAAATTTTGATAAAAGGGTGTTGTATCATTAGCAATATTAGCTCCGATGATGATCGCGTCGTAATGATCTTCAGAATAAAAAGAATATAATAGGCAACACCTTTTCTCAAATTATTAGAAGGTATCAACCTCACCCGATACATTATTAATAATACTCTTAATTGAGAATACTTCTTTGAAGGCGATTTTATTTATACATGGTAATTATTTGGAATAAATTGAGTAAAATTATAAAATGCTGCTTTTGGAGGGGGCGTGGCCCTTGTGCTCTCCTCTTGGATCCACCACTGTGCGCGGGATTCACCAAACTAAAGTCCCTACATACAGAGAGTAGCGCATCCACCGCCCTTTAATACCACCTCAACCGATATCAGGAGCAATCAGGAGCTGAAGGGAATTTATAACAATTGGTGGCGTTGTCAAGAATATTAATATTGGTTTGGGATAGATTCATGGCTCAGCACACAGAAAACCACCCAATTCCAATTCTTCTGACAACTCAATATAAAATGGCGGGATCGGCGGAACAATTGAATGCGCTCCTCTCTGCATCTAGCGACTCAATACCGAACTAATAAGTAGAGAACTGAGGCAACTCACCGCTCGCGTGGGTTGCCGAGCGCGGAGCGCGCCGTCTGGCCGCCCGCGCCCACCGCGTCCACCAGCGCCGTGTCGCGGCGCGCGATCACCAGCTGCAGCGCCGTGTGCGCGTACAGCACGAGGTTCATCGCCAGCAGCACCGCGATCGGCCCGTAGAAGTAGGCGAACTGCGCCGGCAGCTCTGCGCAGGACACCGCTCGCTCAGATACGCTCGCCAAGGGTCCTGACTGGGAGGCCGCCTACATAGGAACCCCGCTCACTAACGGCGCCGAGCCCCTGGCCGAAGGGATAAAAGGCATTGACTGCGACGTGACGAGAGAGGCCAAAAAAGAAAATACTTGTAAAGGAGGATTACTCCATGCTAGGCGCTCAACGCCCAACAAGGTTTCAAGACACGCGTTGCGATAATGATGAGGCAATCTTTATGAACTCCTTAAATAACATATATCCCTTTCATTTACTTTTCTTTAACTCTTAATACATTGCTAGCACCCCCAAATTGGAACGAATAACAAATAGTTTCAACAATGCCCTTGTTTTCAATAGAGAAGGATTATTCCGTGCCAGGCGCTCAATGCCCAAGAAGGGTTCTGTCGGCGAAGACGCAACAAATTAAAAATATAAAATAAAATTTTAAAAAAAGGTTCTGCTGGGAAGGAAATGGTATCGCGTAATCGCTTGGAAAGGGATGACACCCTGCACTTATAACCTGATGGAACTTAGCAAGTCAGTTATCCGTTGTCAGTTATCTTCTTTTAGCAACTGGAAATTATGATAAAATCCCCTAAAATACGAAGCAGAATGCTTTGCGAGGTCGTAGATACTATTCCGAATGATTCTCAGATAAAAGGGAATGTGTATTTATGCAAATATATGCATGGTATGCTATATCCATTATCAGTAATAACTTCGAAGTGGCTGAGAAGTTATAACTAATGAATTCTAAGATAGAAGTCTTGAAAATATATTGTTATTGTTCGTGTTATCGACAAATACTTTTATTTTCTAAAAAAAGAACCCATCGACGATAAGTCTATAACAAACCTGTGACGCTCTGACAATTGAGACGTTGCACAGAACGCACTGCTACCAAAATGAGTAGCATAACTTGCATTGTACGGAGGTTTCTGAGATACGTAGCAGACAGCAAGAAGATATCATATCCAATACCAAAAAATAAGAAATTCCCTAACCATTTCGTTTATTTTCTGTGTCAATCGCATAACTCAAAATACGGAAGTAAGAAATAGGATTTCCCTTCTATTAGCATAATAGCATATTCATGATTTGTAAATTTGTTGCAAAAGTGACGTGAAACAAACGTGTCACCAATGTATTTCACATATACATGAAACGAAATTTCAAATCATCTACTAAAAACAAACTTTTTAGTTTTGATTCTGTTTCAACGAGTAAAAGATGAAGATGAAAATAAATAAGAAAGTCTTACAAACTTTACATGCTAGTTTTATTAATTTAATTTGACAGCAGTTTGATACCGAACGTGACGTGCCATTCAGAATCGAGTTAAAACGTACGGGAGTAAACAATGCTTCTTTTCAAAGAACACTCTCTCATCACATCTCGCCTTATCATAAGCACTAACATTACAACCTCTGATCTCACAGTTACACGTGGTATTGAAACAAAATATCGTAAGCGGGCCGATGCAAGCTAAAACGCGCCATCTCAGAAGAATTGAGAGATGTTTGTGCCAGATTTGGTGCGGAGGTCAAATGTACAGACGGTGGCGATTAATAAAAAAGAACGGACAATCTTTTATGAAAAACGTTTCCAATAACAAAAATATACACATCACAGGTCACGATCTACTCAGTGATTGCAGTCACTGCAACCAGTGACAGGAACTAATCCACAAAATTCAAAATATTAATGATTAACATATTCTATTATGAACAATTAATATATAAATAAAGAATTTGGTCTGTTTTCCTTTCTCACTGAGTTCTCTAATTTGAAATTAGAGACTAATACTAACCGTGTTTGAAGTATATGAATAGTTAAGGGGAATCTCGTTACCACTTTTAATAATCAAATCCAATCGGAATTCAAATATAAACCTGAGAAATAAAAATACACTCCGCATTTTTTTTTTCAAAACTTAACGAATTCTTATAATCTCCAAAATTTTTCGGCACATTGTTTGGATGTAGTGTGTATTTTTTAATCTGTTTTAAACAACCTTTCCAAAATGCATTAAGAACAACCTCAAATTTTCGTTACCTTAAGAAGGTTTACGAATTCCATGATTCATTTTCATTGCCTTAAAACATTACCTCCCAGAACACTTAATAAATAATAATTGTTTAGTACTTCAAACAAACAATACTACTTGTTTTACAATACAATATCAATTAATGAACTACTAGTACAATTCTCTTTGCGTAATGATGAATATTACTTGTCAGATTTCCTTCCACAGTACATACAATTGAAAATCATTTTCTCAAAATATAAATGTATGCTCATACTACGTGTTAACAACTTTTCAATTAATATAAATGAAAATTAGTTAAACGTCACGTATCACATCATCATACACAAATCTTCGTCTTCTTACTAGTCGAAAACTTCTTGTTACTTAAATTTCTGCACGTGTTTACTACAGGCGAACATATGCATATCACCACCGTAAAAAGATTGACTCAAAACTCCATTTCAAGTGTCATGACGCCGTTCCATTTGCAACATGGCTCAGTGCACACATATATTCCTCCACGACCCACAACTTGTCGAGTGCTGTGCAGAGAACAGTGGTTGGTCCCCTCGATGAACAATGTTCGATACTCCACAGATGGCAACACTGAGCACGTGCAAAACGTGAATAAGTGTATTGGCAGTGTTTGGGGGGCAATTCAAAACGAAGTGTACGCTTACTATAAAACCAGCAGTTGTAGAGCCCGATGTTGGGCCTGATGAAGTAGTCGGGGATGCCTTCCACCCAGTCCATGACAGCGGTGACTGCGCTGATGACTGCGGGGCAGCCCCACGCGTACACGGAGTAGCAGATGAACTTCCGGCGCTCGCGCACGCTGCACGCCGTGGGGGGCAGAATCTCCCTGCAACGCCAAGGGATAGGACTGTTGTTAAAACATGTGTACAATATACTTATTTCAATCGTGTTCCGGCCTCCGGTTTGAGATATGGGAATTTCGGACCCCACACGATAGTAACTCACCTGAAATTCCATGCCAGGTCGAAACAAATTGCGTTCAGCCAGAAGAACGTAGCCAGCATAGAATACTGTATAACAAACGCTGCAAAAGAAGCAAATTGGCATTATGCAATGGTAGCTCCTCGTGGCAGGCAAGGTGCATCTCTCTCATGAATACGTACTAATATAACGCATGTTTTTTTAAAGATATTATAATGACGGATATAGTATATTATAGAAAATCTATAGCTTCAATAATGAAAGTGGATAGATTAAACACACGAAGTTTTCGAAATAACACAGCTTTCCACGGCGCAACCCCGAGTTCGATTCCCGGTCAAGGCGAAATTTAATTGTTCGCTTGCAACATCCCAGCGTCTGTTGCAATTTGACGAAGAAAAAGTTCACTTCTCAGGTTCAGAAGAACATAATACAGCGTTGTGATGGCTACGTGCTAACCACCCTTAACTCATGGCCGCAAGTCCGCTGGTTGGCCTTAGCTCGTGAAGAGGTGTCGAGCCAAAGTAAATACATACGTACATACATACATACATACATACATACATTTAAAAATTTGAAGCCATTTTCGAAATAATCTCATCTTACGTATTTTCTTTAAATTATTACTATTTCAATTAAATTGCACGAAAACTACTAACGTATTGAAGAAATCGAGTATAAGACATTAATTTAAGATCGAATTTTGAAAAACAGATTGCATTATTGTAGGGAACAAAGAGGTTCAAATGGCCTGCAGGCTTGGGAGGGTAGCGGACGCTTTCACGACAAGCCAGCCCGAACAATGCTGCCACCACAACGAGGAACCTCTGAGCGAGTTGGGGGATGGCGTATCCCGACATAATAAGGGGCTGTATATTGTACAGGACGTCCGGGGAGGAAACGTTGAAACGTCTCAAATACGTTCTTAAGACAATTTAAAGCACATTTATCACTTGCCTCTCACTAACACTGCGCATGGGCTTTTCCACTCCCACGAAGTCTCGCTTACTGCCTTACAATGGCTGTGGCGCTCCTGTCAACTTATACAAGTGTCCGGGGAGGAATCGTCAAAACTTCGAAAATAAGCTTTTAAGACAATTTTAATAATAATTTGTCTAATAAACTACTGGAATATTCCGAATAGTTGAGCCGCAATAAGTATTCAGCTATTATAAGGCAGCCATTATAAAGCAGTAAGCGAGAGGCTTCGTTCGAGTGAAAAAGTCCATGCGCAGTGTCAGTGAGTGGCAAGTGTTGTTTAGTGGACCGGATAGGGCCCTGGTAATATTTGTGAAGGAACTGTGACTTGCGCGTGGTATTTAGACATCTCCCGGTATTTTGGAAATATTGGTAATACTGTTTTTCGATACGACTTTCTCTCTAGGTAATGCGGAACATTGACCAAGTTCATGGTATTTATTTGAATTCAAAACATTGTAAACCTTTGTCAGAATACACTTTTGTTATTGTTGGGTATACGTGATCACTTATTTGGAACATTCCAGTTATGAAAAAATCTCCTATGGTAATATGACACAAAGCAAACTTTTTCAATTTTTAAAAATTCAGATTTTTCAATGAAAATCGTACCTATGCCATTTTTAGAAGCGTAGCACTTTCCTATATTTCAGCAAAATGCTTATGTAAATTATATAATGGGACATTCGCACCTATTCCCCCTGTTAGACGTGTAAAATTATGCCGTCGGACAAAGGTTAAAGAAAACTATATCAAGTTTTGTAAAAAAAATTTGATTGGTGGGGTACTTGTAATGTATCCTCAAAAACTAGAATATTTTTTTCAGATTCAAAGGCACGCAAAATCATAATGATCGAGAAATAACAAATTTTCTGAAAGTCATGGGAATGGTTAAGGCGCTGGCGTTGTTTATGGTCTTGGACGGACATTTTGTCGGTTTCTTCGGTAAGCACCAAAACTTGGATTTTTACTGCACAAGGTGTTAGAGAAAATAATTTACTACAAATGGGAGTAAGAAACATTACAATATTTGGTACTAGGAACTCGTATGAATTTGACAAAAAATCGCCATGAGTAGTGGTGCAAGCCGGGTTTAATCGTGACGGACAGATAGACAGATGGACGTTGGTTACTCGATTACTACAAAAGGATATCACGTAGTAATATATGAGAATGTAAAAAAGTACTTTTCCGATATCCGGACACCCCAAAACTTTTATTTCCGTCAAAACCTCGACATCTATATGTCGCGGCATTATACGAATCTCTGTAATCACGTATTCAAGAAAGTAAAATTATTAGATACAGAGAAACTTGGTTCCCAAGCTCATCCCTTCTGAGTCCGCCACTCTTCTATGATCTGTTTTGCGTACCTCGAGGATTTGTTCATGAGCTGCTGTTTGCATTTTCTCGCAACAGATAATATTATTTATAATTCGTAACCCGGCTAGTGAGCCTCGGATTCTATCGTATAGACTCCACTGATTAATAGCCCTAAAGACCTGAATGAACTAAAATCGGAGAAACTGGTCATAATTTCTCTCCGCTACTAGGACAAGTTATCATTAGCCTTTTAATCAAGGAGTATTCGAATATCCAAAACTCGAGCCCGGGTAACGCGAATTTTCGTGAGAAAAATCCTCTTAAGTCAACAGATCGATGGCTCGACTTGGCCAAACCAAATATTGAGAAATGAAGATTGTTTAGTATCCTGTTTTTTATTTTTGCTAATAATTGAATATCCAAAAATCGAAGCTGTGTAGCGCGAACTTTCATAAGACGAATCCCCTTAAGTCGTCATTTTCGAAGGCTCAAATTTCGACAAATCATATATTACAGAATCTTTTTTTGCCAATAGACGAATATCCAAAAATCGGAACTGTGTACCACAAACTTACATACAATGAATCCCTTCAAGTCAACTTTTTTGCTGACTTGAATTTCGCCAAACCAAACATTGATAAATGAAGACCGGTCGTCCGGATGGCTGGTATAGTTAAGGCAGTAGTTCCGTATCGATCTCGGACTGAAGGATCGCGAGTTCGAGTCCTGCCTCGGGCATGGTTGTGCGTGTTGTCTATGTGCAACGTGCTTGTGTATCCCGTGTGGTTGGCGTTAGGTTTGCATCGGGCCGTAAAAATATCGCCAAATCTGTGTAAAAATGGTGAATGCGGATAATTAATTAAATATGAGCCCTGGACCATCAGCGCCGATCCCGTAATAACGTGAAAAGGAAGAAGACGAATAAATCTGGCAAACATACGTTCCTATGAAGCCCCTATTCATCGCTTCGGCTTGCGCACGCATAACCCTTACTGAATTTGAAGGGGAAATGAGTGCGGAGTGAGGGGAAGTTGCGAAGTAGGAGCGCCGGGCTCCCCAGGCGGGCAAGTACCTTGTGCAGGCGCGGTTTGACGTGCGTGATAGAGAACTGAAGACCGCGCTGCAGCATCAGTTTGCGAATCTCACCCAGAGCGTAGCACACGTTCCTGGGGCCGATGGGCCCGGAGAACTGCGTGGCGGCGAGCGTGAGCGACCCGGCGAGCAGCGCGGCCGCGTGCGACAGCAGCGCCTTGGCGTGCGCCGAGCGGCGCAGGTCGGGCAGCAGCGCGAACACCAGCAGCGTGGCGGCGAGGCACAGCGAGCTGAGCAGGAACAGCGAGCCGTACAGCACGCGGCTCACCGGGTTGCTGCGGTTCGCCTCCAGCCGCACGCAGACGAGCGCGTTCGGCACGCGCCACTCCCCGCCCACCAGCGACGTGTCGGCGCACCAGGCGTCCGGCGGGTACGCCGAGCCGTGGCCGTAGTTCTGCATCAGCGCGCTGCCGTTGCTCAGCACGCGGATGCTGTGGGCGGGCTCCTCATAGTTCAGCACCACGATTTCAGAGCTTTGGACGAAAGGACACGTATATATTACGATTGCGTAGGCTTCCGCGGCCGGAGTTTATATCATCTAGGCCAGGCATGTCAAGGTAACAGCTTACTAGAGCTCGCGGGCACTGCGTCCCGAAAAATTGGTGCGATATTTAAAAGTAAGGATTGGGCAAATTGCTAAGTCACTGGACACTTGACCCATGACAGTCTTTGGAAGAAATTACTTGTCAGTTACTGTCACAAATTTAATTATATTAACAACTATTTTTTCTTTAAGACGAATAAATGATCCATTAAAATGAAATAATACATCAGTCCTATTTAAAATTCTCAATTGGGAGTAAAATTTTAAAAAACGGAATGAAAAGTATCGTGATTTTGTACTTCTGTATACTTAAGGGTAATATAAAGCAAATACATTCTACATTCAAATTAGAAGTTTTAGCACAAATATTCTTGTCTGTAAAAATGCGCTGTCCGTCCGCAAGCGAGAATTGTTAACTTATAGAGACTTGTTAATTTATTTCACATTATTGGTAAATACGATAAATTACTGAATGATTTAATAACACAACACCAAACGAAAAAAAATGAGTGAATTCGCCATTCAAACATATTCCGGTCACTTAGCAAAATTGATTATATTAGGGAGATTTTAGTAAAAAAATAAATATGAAATAGTAATAAGTAGTGAAAAATATATAAACAATATAGAATTCTCGGTCATTTAATAGAAAATATCTGGCAAACGTATCTTCGTATGAAGCCATTATTCGCCGCCTCGCACCTCTTGTGCTTGCGCATTTACACCCCTTACTGAATTTTGAGGGGAAATGCGTGCGGGGTGAGGGGAAGTTTCCCATCCCCGTAAGAGCGACAGACTTTCCACGCGGCAAGTTGCTCGTGCGGGCGCGGTTTGGAGGTTCTGATCTAAGCTATCCGGATCGAGTAGTACGCTCTGCGTAAGAGCACAGTGTGTTTACCGAATCGTGAGCCATCACGACAAGAACGCGGTTCCCCCTGGAGAGACTAGATCATACGCAGAGATAACTTATTTTATCAGTAGTGATGTATGAGCATTTGAGAGTGTACTTTTGTGGAACTTCTACAGGTTTCACCATTGCATCAATGCTTTAATATTTTCAATAAATACTTAATATATGTGCATAATAATATAAGTGCTGTAATAATCAGTTTCGAATTGCAGTCTTCACCAGTACCTGAGATATCGGAAGGATATTGTCCTTGTACTCAAGTCAAGTCAAATAAAACACAGATCAAGTCAAAGAAAAATGTCATACTTGTAATCTACATTTCTAATTTCCAATTCGCCCAGAAATTCTAAGAAAACTGTTCGGCATTCAACCAGTGATAGGTATCTATGAATTCGTTAAATAGAACCCTTAAATAATTGATTCATACTTTAAAAATTAAATGGGAAATTATTTACTAATATTAAGTGAAATATTAAAGTTAAAAGTTGAGGTGAAAGCTTCATCTAAGTCTGCAGATACTTATCGAATAATACCTATTCTTAATTATTGTTAAAAATTACCTTGAGCTGCAGTGAGGAATGGTCGCAGGCAGAAGAATATACTCGACATCCGAAGTGGTGACATTGGAATTTTTAGAGGAATAAAACACAGGAGTCCATGTCTCTTGTGACATTCGGGGAATACATTTTCGACTCAGTGATTTCCTGGCCACGCCGATGGATAACTCCTGCTTCGAAGAGCAGCACTTTCTCACGCAGACAGTCGTCTCACAGGGGCAGGTAATGAAGACGAAAGTATCGCCTGCAGCGTCTACGCGGTCGGAGCAGTAGAGGTCTGGCGGCAGCGGGAGGTTGGGAGTCGCGGTCGAGGGGAGGTCGTCCGTGCGCAGCAGAAGGGTGCCGTTGCTGAGCAGGCGGTAGCGCGAGAAGCTGTTCCACGTGAAGTACTTGTAGGCGCTGCGCGCGCAGGGCGGGTCGGGGCCGTAGCGCAGCACGGCGTCTGGCGGCTGCGCGCGCAGCAGCGGGCGGGCGGTGGCGTTGCCGGTCTGTGCGTCGTAGAGGGGCGTGGCGGCGTGGAGCCACCAGGGGAAGCCGTCGCCCGCGCGGCGCCGCACCGCCCCCGCGCCCTCCCACGCCGCCCGCGTCTCGCCCGCCGCGCCCTCGTACGCCACGCACGTCTTCAGCGACGCGCTCAGCTGCTCGTGCGCGCGGCAGCACTTGCGCAGCAGCGTCGGGCCCCGTGCGGACGCATCGCCCTCGGTGGCTGCCAGAGCAGCGGCGCACAGCGCCAACACCACGGACAACGCCCACGCGCTGCCATGGCACCTCCTATCAACAGTGAGATTTGGGCAATATTGTCGGTTAGAATTACTCTAATTTTCCAATAGCCTTCTTTCGACGATACAACGGAATTTCATTATCTCGAAGAGGAAAGAAGGAACAGAAAACCAGTTATCTAGTATTTAAAATAACCAGGGTTCGAGTTACCGAGTTACATTGCGTGTATCACACCATACACTCTATCAGTGTTTCAGAAGTTGTATTAAACTATATTAAAATAGTAGCAGAACTAAAACGATGGCCTTCATTTTACCTCATTAGAGCAAAGTTGCGGTAGTGGTAAAGATGGCGCCACTATCTGCGAAGACCAAGACGTTACTTTCTGTGAGATAGATTCTCTCGAAAAACTTTTTTGGAATTTGAACTAGCTGCCACCTGCATTTTTCAACCCTAGCGCACAAACTAATATCAGTAAGCTGCAATGTCGTTTGTTTGATGATTAGCGGTCCTAGAAATACCCTACTACACTTCAGCAAAAAGAGGGCAGATTGACGTTTGATCTGGTGGGATCCAGCTCTCCAATCCGGTGCTTCTATTCGACTTAATTTTACTCTCTTGTGTTTCTACGTACGTAGTAAATTGAAAGTATTGTAATGCTGCGGCAAAAATCGGCGATTTTTCAATAGAAAAGCGATCACGGTTCAGCTCAGTCCTTATGAGCCCGCAAATTCGCCCGCGAGCTGTGTTCTGTCGGAGAGGAGATGGACGTCACGCAGCTGCAGAGAAAATGGCTTTCCGAGGGGACTGCAATTAAACGCATACTGGTAGATATGCGAGATAAAAAAAACTCAATCGAAATTGAACAATGAAGATACTAACATGTAGAGAAAACTTTTTAAAGAAAGAAGCAAGTGTATTTAAATATCCATAATAAAAGAAAACAGGCTAATACAAGTATTTCTTACGAAAATAAATTGCGGTCGATTACAAATCGATATAAAATGCGTAAGGAATTGAAGAATATGCGAGAGCGCTTGTGCCGAAGTCAAATTGACCTGGGTACAGAAAAATGTAATAATAATTTATTTATTCGAGTATATAAAAGATTGAGATCACTGTATGTGTTGGAGTGTATGAGTTAGAAAATTTCTAAGTGATAAATAATTAGATAGGTGTAACGTACTAAGGGAATGAGTGCACGTTGTCTTGAGTTCTGGAATTGCTACTCTAACTCATATACAATCTAAGTTATGAGTAAACATGCGGTTTGGCAGGATTTCATAAGAAACATTCTCCCCCGTGACATAAAAATTATTTACAAAGGCAAATCAGCTATATGTTTTGCCTCTTCTCCCTCACCGTGCCCTTCGCGAAGGAACCGACTCACTGCCGCGAGAACTTGGTGAACGATTTCTATTCTCCACTGAACTCTAGAAAACGTGCTCAGATACTGAAGCTACATTTACGTCCAGATGCAAAACAAGGGGTCACCTCAGCATTCGATCGAAGAATCAGAGAATCAGGATGAAAAAACATGATCGAGATGGGTTGACCCAGGTATTTAATTTGAAGTGTCCTGAAAGTATAAAACTAAAATAATCAGAACAATTAAAAGAAAACTTTAGAACCATTCAGGGATATTACAATTCCTCAAGGAAGTTCAGTCTATCAAATAATAGATATTTTACTAAAACATAAATACTGTAAGTAATTGCAATCTAATTAAGAATTGAATTGAAAAAGGCAATTTCATTGGAATACGCGTATATTTAAAGCTCGGAATTGTTGACCGGAGGTAGTGTTAGGACTACTCAGGAATTTCGTCCGGTCTTCCCGGTTGCGGGAGATTTCGACCTAGCCAACTTCGAGACGCAGTGGGTCCTCAATCACCTTAGTGATACACAGTAACTAGGCCACTAGTGATATTGCTCCTGCCAATAATTTCGTGTGTCTGTCGAGTACGTATATTCATCGATTAATGCTTTTTTTATCTTATTCTATCTTCACCTGATGGGGAAGTTCCAATATTGCATTCCACCCTCCCATTATTGCCTTTCCACACAATTGCAAATGCAATAATGTTTGGATTATCGCCCACACTCTTCAACCTCTACTTAGATGATATCCCCCAACGTGAGTTAAAATTGCACAATTTGCTGACCAAACAGTCGTATACTTAATTGGTCCTATACTTAACTGGAACTTTACTAATAGACATCAAAAACAAAATTCAACTATACTTAAATTTATATTTAATAGTAATACTATAGTAAGTTTGTGTAATACAATTGTAAGTTGAGCATGCACATCCAAAATTCTTCAGAAATCAATTTAGACCAGGGAAAAGTTCCACACATTGGGTCATAGACACCCCCTCCCCTTAACCTAAAAAAAAGAACAAACAAGCTGATATCCTCCAAACAAAGCAATAGGATGTTTACAATTAAATATTGTTGTACCTAAATGTTGTTGTACCTAAATTGGAAACATCACATTGACATCAAAATCAATCAAGCCAAATCGAAATCAATTTAAATTTGAATTGTCTGTGATGGATATCAAAAAATTGTAGGTCAAATAAACATTTCAAAATTGATTAAAGACAGTTGTTAAAGGAACGATTTATTGTGTTGCCATCGAGCTAGCACACAGTCTTAGTGTTTACATGTGACAATTAATTCGAAATTGTCTGTATTAGGTTGTGCTGATACGGCTGCTCCGTTTTGACAGCTAGACGCGAGTCGATTAGGAAGTGAAACGGACTGCAGCCTTTGCTAAGAAAGGTTTGAAATGAGAATATAGCTCGAGCCGTTATAATATCTCCGTATGAAAAATGCAAAACCGAAATTTTAAATGTTATTATATATAAAATATATTACGTCTTAAATTAGTATACATTCATCAAGGTTGTCTCATCAAGTCTACCTCAAGGAACCGCCACTAGATTCTGGACAAGTAACGGATATTATAAAGTATAGATAAAATCAGAACACAAGAGAGTGTGATTATCTGCACATGGAATTTACTCGGGAACAATTCAGGAATTTATTCGCTGTACAGGTTCATTGGTGGTATTATCGTTGCCGCTACAGGGTGTCTGACAAGTAGACCGTAGAATCCCAACGGCGGCGGATATCAGAATCTCATAGAATCCCGGCGGCCACATTTTGCGTCACAATATTAGCAGGAATTGTAAATGTAGCCGAGATACGAAAATCATCACCTTGTTACAAGTCATTAAAACAAATGTATGTTGTTGTTTTTTAATATTGCATCTTCATCATGTTATTTTTGGTTAGGTACTGTTAAATATTTCCACCTATACCATTTTCAAAATGTTTCTCAATACTTCTCTCTCTCTCCATGCCACATAGCGACCAGTATCTGGTGTGGCTTTTCAAACGAAATCCCGTGTTGTGGTCACGTGATTCGTAACGGAAACAGGTGCTCCGCAGAACGAGCAAAAATCGGTACGCCGGAGTAGCTCACCCATATATTTCCATGACTTAACGGCTTGCTATTCTGATTGATAGTTTTCTTTGGGTTCTCCGGTCAATACGAGACCCATCACCGAGTGGAACTCTAGCAAATTGTTCACGGCCTGTCTGCGATTTTTCATTCCTTATCTTTGTCCGTTCTTCACCCTTCACACGCAAACTCTCTCCAATCAATTCACTATCACACTCGCAGGGAGCTATGAGCACGTCCCGACAAGGGTGGAGATATATGAAGGGGGAAACCCCAAAGGACGAGAGTAGGTCGTTGCCAGAACTCATGTTGTAGCGAGGAAGAAACCTCCAGCGATTTCACATGCACGGCACTTACGGAACTAATATTCATAGCATTTATCGGGCCTGGAGGCTCGAAATAATCAATCTTCAGAATATTACGACTATTCTTACCATACTATCATATAAAGCGCGGTGATGTAAAGCGCGGCATCGTTGGATGGTGTAAAAGAAGGGATCCTCGTTTTTTGTTAAAAATACAATGTACACCGTATAAAGGAGTAATAAGAGAAACTAATTAGCAAACTGGTTGTGTTCGTACAAAACCTTTCACCTCGTATTCCAATCGATTAAAACATGATAGCAGCTTCCGCAATATCTTCATTCTGTCTTGCACCAAAAAACATATTGATATTAAATAATTAATAAGACTCATATCTCTGTGTATATTTTTTAATATCTGTCGAAGCTATGAAGCTGAACACTCACTAAGTAGGGTAGTCTGACGCATTGGGCAAAAAGTGTTCTATGTGATGCAGACAATGAATACCTACTTTTGATTGACTGCCGGCGGCCCATTTTCTTCAGAATTAAGATCAGAATGCAAAATAGAAAGTAGCGAGACATTTTTTTGTGAAATACTTTAACATTCGTTTTATTTTTTCTTAAAGGAAAATATTGGACTGGGTACGTGATTGCTCGAATTGAAATTCTTTATTGATCACATATTTTGTTTACCGCACAACTCTGATACAAAATTCACTTTGAGCGATGACATAATAAAATATTAATAATAACAATTACAAACAAAAACACATTTTAAAAGGTTCTAAAGGTAATGCTTCGCTATTGTAACGTATTACACTTCACATGCTACTGGGCACGTTATTCACGTCTTACTCTACGGTCTGCAAAAATTTCAATAGGCGAAAGACTTTCTCGCGACGTTGCGTCTTCCTTTCCGTGTCTTTCCGTCTCCCTTTCCGTGTCTTTCCGTCTCCCTTTCCGTGTCTTTCCGTCTCCCTTTCCGGATCTTTCCGTCTCCCTTTCCGGATCTTTCCGTCTCCCTTTCCGGATCTTTCCGTCTCCCTTTCCGTGTCTTTCCGTCTCCCTTTCCGTGTCTTTCCGTGTCTTTCCGTCTCCCTTTCCGTGTCTTTCCGTCTCCCTTTCCGTTCTTTCCGTCTCCCTTTCCGTGTCTTTCCGTCTCTCTCACTTTCTGTCTCTCACTCTCTCTTTCTGTCTCTCACTCTCTCTTTCTGTCTCTCACTCTCTCTTTCTGTCTCTGTCTCTCTCTTTCTGTCTCTGTCTCTCTCTCTCTCTCTTTCTGTCTCTCTCTCTCTTTCTTTTTTTCCAAAAAATAAAACAGACATAGCAATACTTTCGGAATCGCATTTCCAGCCATTCGCAATTCCAGGCAAAGTTTACAATTGCAGGATTTAATATTTACAGATTGAACAGACCTAACAGATGCGGGTGGAGTAGCAATCCTCATTTGTAAGCGTATGAAATAAAACCTTTTATTATATTCATCACCTGGAGTAGAAAACACTGTAATTTCTCAGTCGAAAAGTTCAGTACCCGGGATCACAGCTAGCTCCAAGCATTTCAATAGATCCCAATTACCCATCAGTGCTTTTCTCCTCCCTCACCCCAACCCTAGCTACTAGCTAGTTTGGAATGCCAAGAACATCGTGAGGCTGTCGAACAACCTCTCCTAATGGCTCTCGACTGTTCCCAAACTGTAACACACATCAAATCAAAGCATCAGCGCCTACAGAATTTACTGTCTACCCGTTCAATAGTAATTTTCTCCTGACACACTAATCATTATTCTCACAAAAGCCTTCACAAAACAAATTTTCTAACAGCCAACCTCTGAATCGAATTCAGATCACTCCCCAGTACCAATATGTTCAATATATCATCTCAACTCCGCCAACAACCTCCCACCGACACCCCTTCCGAAATGGATAACGCCATCAACATCCTTGCTTCGATCATCCAAACTGTCTTTCGGTCTGCATCTTGCTCAACGACTTACAAACTAAAAATTCCCTATCAATTGATGCTCCCCAATCGTACACGAAAATTCATCTCCGAAAATAGCAAATCACGAAGGAATGTAACAGAAAACAGAATGACTTCCATCAAATTAATTAAATGTTTGAAAAAACTGCCAAGATCACAGCGCTCTCGTGAACCAAAGAAGGCTTTCTTCCAATTCCAATCAGCAAAATTAACTTCTAACTACGTAAATATGTCGCGACAAAACCCTGTCTCACAATAATTCTCCTATTCCCGCATTTGTAACAAGTATTACATAATCAATAACCGATTTGGAGAAACCTCACTTCTAGCTTACTACTTTTCGGAAATATTATCTCCAAACCCAGCCAACAACGTAGCTTACAACAACCAAATAGAAACTTTCATGAATCTTTCATTCTCCTCTGCCCCTCTACTTATTAACTACATTAGTCCAGAGAATATTCAAGCAATATGAAAATCACCAAAGAATAAACTAATAGTGCTACAACAGTACATGCTTTCTCGTATTATTTTAAATTTGCAAATTTTCGAAAATTCAGTGAGATCAATGAAAATTCCGCACCATTCTTTTAATCATCACTTTTTCTATCCGTGAAAATTTTTTAAACAAATTTGGAGTTTTTTTTAGGGGGAAAATGATTTTAAGTGCCTATATTTTGCGCCAAATTACAAGAAAACTATTCTTATTTTCGAATAATTGAACATGAATTTATTTAAAGATCTGTCTTTAACGATTTTTTTCAGAAAAAATCTCTATATTCAATAATGTAGTTGTAGGAAGACGCCCGTAAAATTGCGCTTTGGCAATTTTCAAAAAAACAAAAATAGGATTTTAACGAATACGAGACCTGCACCATTCTCTTAAGCATCCTTTACGCTATCAGAGGACAAAGTTTAATCAAATAATTTGGAGCAATTTTTAAGAAAATGTTGAAACTGCTTTGAGACTTCATTCAAAGTAATCTCAAAAATCAAAATATCGGTTTGAAACTCAGAAAACCTCGAATTCATTCAGATCGGTAGAGGAATATCAATTTTGAAGAAAATCAGCTGAACAGTTTAGGTGCTAGCGTTGACCATAGATGGACAGATATACAGGTGTAACACCAGGTGGTAGATGACTTCTGTGTTTAGGAATAGGATTTATCCACTTTTCACTACCAGGACCCGACAATAAGAGTTTTTCTGCCGTCAATTCGCCGTTTCCCGACGCACAATTACACAACTGTCTCTTCGTTCGTAAGGGCGAGAAAGTAAACATCATTTGGGTGCGACTGAATACCCAATGTTGCACTAAAACATCTCCCACGAAGATCCATCGCTTTCTTACCTCAATTGTAAATGGTTGCCTACGACTAGGTTATTACCCTTCTGCTTGGAAGCATTCAATTGTTATCCCCATTTTCAAACCAATTAAACCAAGCACTTATCCCAATACTTACACACTCGTAAGTTAGCTGCCTACTTCCTCAAAACGCTTCACAAAAACTTAGCATCAACACATTCTTTGTATAAACTAAAAAATGATGTGCAATTTGGCATCCGCCCACAATTTTCCACTGTACACCAACTACTACAAGTTTCTGAAACAATAGCCCAATTATTCGAAAAAAAAATATACCGTCGCTGGTTTCTTATATTACTCGCAAGCGTTTGACCGAATATGGCACGATGGTCTTCTGTATAAGCTCAGAACGATTGGTGTTACAGAATAGCTTTTCAATGTTATAAAGGAGTTTCTCAGCAACATATCTTTTCCTGTCAAAATCAGTAGCACTGAATCACATCTCTTCAATATCAGCACGGAGATACTACAATTATTCGCCAAACTTACCGTCTTATTTTCTTCCAAACCCTATCTCTCAAAGCCAGTTTCAGTTAGGACTTCTAGACTTTCTGCAAATGGTCGTGGAAATGGAGATTATATTTGAATCCAATAGAGATTAAAATTGAAATCAATACATTGAGTATGGAGCCAATACGTTTGCCCTAAAACGCATTCCTGACCAGACCCCATGAAGTGTTCTTCGAAATTAGAAATGAACTGAAATATATTATGTGCGAATAATTACCACGGACACCGCTATTCCATTACAGAATTTATACACCGCTTTTTAAATGCTGGGACCTATCTTTACATAATAAAGATATTTGAACAGTATTTGCTACAATCGTTTCAAAAATATGAGTTATATAGTTTTTCACAACCAACAGGCTGGAAATTTACAAAACGAACTCATTTTTAAATGCAGTATTTCTCCCTCAACTTAATTATTTCCTCTGTAACTCATATTTAGACATGTGCTGACAAAAACAATCCAAACGCTTTGTTTGTTTGGACGTATTTTTGTCGATACTTATGCTGAAATTACCGTGACACGAGAAATGAAAGGAAATGAGTTCATGACTTATAAACGGAATGTCAAGAACTGTCGATGTGCATCTCGAAAGCTGTCTTCATCGCTTAGCTTCGAGTTTACGCTAGAAAAACCACGAGCGTAAATTTCGGAGAGGTCGACCGCAGGTAGTGAGTCGACGTGGCAAACTTATCGCCCCGCGTCCGCGACTGACATACCTCGTGGCTGCAGCGCCGCGTCGCGCCGCTGTGGACGGGGTCCACGAGGCTGGTCGGCGCCGCTCCATGCGCGCTACTCGCTCGTGCGGACGAGCGCACACTGCGCCCGGCGCTCCTCTGGCACCGGCGCGGCGGCAGCGGTCACTGGGGTGATGGCGAGGGCAACAACAGGCGGCGGGCGGCGATGGCGGTTGGCGCTGTGGAAGGGAGAAAAACGGTAGAGGCGGGTACGTAGCGGAGCGGGGGCGGGGACAGAGGCGGGAGTTGGCGGTGGAGGAGTTGGCGAGGGCGGGGGGCGGGAGTGGTGGAGGACATGGCGGCGGCAACCATGCTAGGTGTTTCCCCGCCAGCTACCTGCTGATTTGGTTGCCCCCCTCTTTGCCGCCGCTCACCTTCCTGCCAACCTTGAATCCTGCATCGCCTCTTCCCGAACACGTTCCCGCCCGCATCGCCGACGGCGCGAGCGAAACGGTCAGCAAAAGTCCATACACGTCACAACGCGAGCGTCACGCACGCAGAATCCGAAAATAAAACCGGTACAATGACGTCGAACAAGAAACGTGACGTCAAGTCTGTGTTGCAGCTGACGTTTTTGATTTATTGTATTGATTTTATATATTTGAAGGAAGGGATTTTAGATAAAATAATTAAAATTTGAATGAGCCTCCAAGTTCTTTGGGTTCTTCCCTCACTCGCAAGCTTTATTAACAAGTAGAGAAACAGTTTTCCGTCAGTCGTGCGTGCTTTCTCTTAAAAAGTAACGAATAAATTATTTGTCCTAAAGTCATTTGGAAGAACATAAGGTAAGAAAATGAAGCCTAAAGAGGCTACAACAGCCCATTTTTCCTCGTAATATCGGTAAGAGTTAAATAATATAATGTTCCTTCTATCCTTCAAATTTTTCATCCAATACTCAAAAACGCAAATGATACAGTTAAAAATCGTCTACTCAATATTTTTCTCAATACGTCTTACGTAACACAAAGCAGCGGTGATAGCTACCAACAACTTATGCGCTTTTGCTGAGCAACCATTCTTACTCCAAGGATTGCTTTTAGAATACGTTTTGGCATATGTTTCTGCAAGATGCTCCGTGTGGAGATAATACAAATAAAAATTTTCGAAAAACATACTACTGATTTATTTACGGGATATTCCCTTTCGTATGCATATCACTCGTAAGATAGCGAGGAGTAAAATAATACAAAAGCCACAAAAGCACGTTCTTTCTCGCACAATTTCTAAAATTGGTTTTTTTCGAAAAATCAGAGTTCAACGGAAAGTTACACCATTCTTTCACGTTCTATCCATGGAAAAAAATGAAGAAAATAATTGAAGCGATTTTTGAGAAAATTTTTATTTTAATTGGATTAATTTCAAGCATAAATTACGCAAAAACTATTCGACTTTTAAACAAATTTTACTTGGTGAGACATCAGAGTGCTAAATAAACCCAGCCAGGAAGTCGCCATCAACGATATTATAGTACCATTGGCACATTTCGTATTAATGTAACGAGGAGCACCATTCAAAGAAAATTAGAACATGCATTGCTTCGCATACTGTTTTCTGAACAGTTTACGGATGAAACGTTTCGTTATGAGATCAAACATCAGCGAATAGGATAGAAATGGACTGGTACACGCACACAACCAGCGTTCCTCTCGCTCTCCGTCTTGCTCCGTCCTGCCACACCGGCTGAGATAAAGAAGATATGAAATGTGAAAAGGTACAAATCCATCCCCTGTGAATTTCTACAACCGGTGTAGTAACAAAATCCCTCATTAAACAGTTACAAGAATTGAATATAAAGCAGGTACTGACAATACAAAAAGCAGTTATTCTGGCCATCTGTCACATAGTGGAAAAAAACTGATAGATACATCGTTGGAGATCCTAAAAGAGAATAAAAACCATGCCCGTTACTTGCTGATCGGAGTCGTATGAGTAAGATATCCACGACAATACCCGTGATAGGTGAATCCCCCCCCGTGTGGGAGACTATCCTACAAGCCAAGCCGCTTTATCCCATTCCTAAAAACCTTACTGATATATATTTTTCCTACATTCCCTTCGGTTGTACTCAATTCCCACCTGCTCTGAGCCTTAATCGCATTTCGACATACCTTGCGGCTATTTCCCATTTCTACATGCTTTGCGGTTTTATTCCGTTCCTACATACCCTGAAGTAATATCTCATTCCTACATGCCCTGAGGCTACATCCTATTCCTATATGCATCTCCAATGTCTACAAGCCCTGTGGCTATTCCTACATGACCTGAGGTTAAATCCAATTTCTTCATGCGTTGCGACTATATCTTATTCCTATATGTTCTCTGGCTATATACCACTTATCACGCCCTGCGGCTATATCCCATTCTTTCATGCCCTGCTACCTTATTCCATTGCTACATACTCTGCAGCTACATCGATTCCTATCCCCGTAGGTGGGGCTAGGCGGTTGCAAACCCTGAGGAGGATGTAACATCCACTTAATGGAGGGGGTAGCGTCCACTGGAACCCGAGATACTCGGCGGTACTCACGTCGTTAGCTTTAAGGTGGAGGCAGTGAGAAAGGGGTTCTTCAACGACCTTTGCGCAGGATTGGGAGTGAGATTTGTTATCGGGATTCTCTGTGCAGCTGGCGGCGGATCCTAGATCCACGTATAAAAATTCGACGGGGAGCATGCCCCTCCCCTGCCTAGGTTCCGGCGGTACTCACGTCGAAAGCTTCAATATAGAGGACGTGAGATGACGCGTCGGGGGCCCCAAGCCACCCGGGCCTTAGGGCGGCTCCCTGTCGGGCACTTGGCTTCGACGTGGCAGTCACCCGAGACTCTGGGTAATAGTACCTGTGCATTGTTAGTGGCGCTAAATTTGACCCGGGTGCTAGCCTGGAAAGCTAGTATACAACATTTTACTCTCCTTAAAAATTCCATCTCTGTCGCTTGAATGTATGATTTTTCTTTTTGAGAGAGAATTCAATTTCACTCCCTTACAGGACTCATAAAACTCTGATATCAAACCTGCTGGCTCAGAAGCAGTGAAGTGGCAGCCCCACTACTGGGTTTACCCTACAAGGCGCTTGTTACGCGCTCAGAGGACATTTAAATCACTAAAGATCTTCACACAGATATGCTGGATAAATCCCAAATTACTAAATATACTGTGGATATATGTCATCCTACATGCATTGCGGCTATATTCCATTCCTGCATGTCCTACGACTATACCCATAACTGCATGCCCTGTGGCTACATACCATTCCTAAGTGTCCGTCGGCAATATCCTCTCCCTACATACCCTGCAGTATATTCCTATCTCTACATGCTCTGCGGTTATATCCACCCCCCCCCAATGGGGATGATACCTCCAAGTACCATGAAGTATAATCGGGTGAAAAAAGACGCGAAATATTGATGGTAGTGTCTCAACTGTAAGTTTTCGAAAAATCCAAATGCATAGTATACTAATTTCATTGTAAAGTAACAAGAATACTCTGTGACTCCCTGCCAAGTGCGTTTTAAACGTTCTTGACCTGACACATTAAATGCAACGTAAGCTGTTATTTACTTCTTTAACGTCAAAACAGTTAATAACTGTGGGTGACGTGTTACATCAAAAAAGTGTATTCTGTGCACGTTTTCTTAATTCTGGGATACCTACCCTAAGCCATATACAAGTTCAATTTTGAATACAGAAGGAAATGAGCGTATTTGGTAAGGATTGTTAACAAAATATTCCCTCCGTTAATAAAAAACTATTTGCAAGGGCAAATCAACTATAGATTTGGGCTCTTATACTTCATTGTGCTCTTCGTGAAATCATGGAAAACTATAATTTGAATACTATATTTCCCACTGAACAATAGAAGACGTTCACAGATAGTGAAATTTCATTTACGTCCAGAAGCAAATCAAGGGCCATTGCCACAATCGCTCAAAGGACCAAACTGGACGAAAAACCTGATCGAGAATTGGGGTCTTTGACCCAGAAACTGAGGCACAATACTTGTTACAGGCTGCTTAGAATTATACAGGCCAAATAAATTATTACAATAAATGTCATTGTTAAAATTGATATTACTTTCCTTTTTGATGTTCGGTATAATCTCTAATTGTATTGAAACAGTTATTCAGTAGAAAATATTTTACTTGGGACTAACACTTGAATATCGATTTCAATCGTTTAATGTCATTAGAAAACGTAAAATAATGCGCATGTGCTGAATATGTTTCTTTTTTTTGTAGTGAGCTGTTGATACTGACACCTGATGATTGGGATTACTACGTCTAGTGTTAAAGGCATCAGCAGTTGCCGAAAGTATATCCCTTCCCCCTTGAGTAAGTCGTTTTTGACAAAAAACACTGATTCGTGAGACAAGGTAATGACAGAATTTCTAGATTATTATCAAGATGCTTACAAGAATTACATGGATGGGATTTGTTATTATTCGTACAATTATTTTTTGTAATACAAAAGTAGAGGATTTATAAGATGTTTTCTCCCAGAATATTATGTCGCATCTCTGGCGGGAATGAACATTTGCAAAATATACACAAAGAACAGTACGAAGGATGATTGAATTTGACATCAGTCAATGGCATCATATTGACAATCAATTGACATCAGTCAATGGCATTTTTATCTCGCTTCATATTTGGTCATTCTTGAACGTTACATAGTATATTCTGGCGTTGGAATTCTTATATTTTGCACACATAGATAAAAAAAGGTTCAAGTACTCACGAAAATTCTTTCATTGTCGGAAACTACTGTAATACTCTCTCATTAACAATTTAATTTACAATTATAAATTTGCGCATCTATTTGAAATTCCTAATTTTTATTTTATAAAAGAATTATCCTTCTTGCACAGGGCAAATCAAAGTTCGAAAATTAACTTACTTCGCGCGGATTGAAGACTTATCGGTTGCACTCAGATATCATGTCTTCTTGATGCCACCTACCTAATATCTATTTTATTGTCCCGCCTACCGTAATATTTCCCAGTGTTAAATTCTAATTAAAATGATACCCGCGTTTCTTCGTTACCGGCTCGACAAATAATTGTTCTAATTTATCACGCGACCGCGAACGTTTCCTATTCTATATCACGTATGCGTATCTATTTGCGACTGCGTAAGATTCAAAACTAATTGTTGAATGCGATAAATATCTACTATTCTTCCCTATTCTAATTTCGTTCTGAATATAAATCTATTTGAAATTCCAATTAATATTAAAATACGTTTAACATCATTACATTTCTGATATTAATATGGAACGCAATTTCCTACTATACGCTTCCCTCTCTCTGAAATAAAATCGCGATCCCCTCAAGCCGCGCGTCCGTCTGATGGAGATCGTACCGTGCTAGCAAATGTGCTATCGTTCCCTTCTAGCGATCGAAACAC